TCGTCGTCCGACTTCTTGAGCTTGAATGCCATCTCCTCAGATGCTGGGCTTCATGGAAACACCGCTCTGGAGCTGACTGCAGCTCGCCAGGGGTCGGTTGGCCGCAGCACCGTCAGCGTGCACTTGCCAGGCGACTCGAGGATGTCCCACATCCGGCTTACCTGCGTCGGCTGCTAGGCCTACATGCTGCATGGGCAAGACTCGTGGTCCCCAGCTGCTCTCGACGATCCTGACAGGTTGCATCACCGTTCACTCCATTCACTGACACGATGCAATCCTCGGCTGTTCCAAAACAGCGAGCATTGCTCACGCTTACAACTCTGATTTTTTGCTTGCAGGAGACATACTGTTGGAGTCGTCCATCGTCTCTTGCGCTTCCCGCATTCATCGCCGCTATAACCAGGCCTGAACTGGTACAGCAGAAGCTTGCCATGGAGATCTCTTAAGTGGGAGCACAGACAAACTGAAAGCAATGGGCATTCAGAAAGGCAAAGCTTGCCTTAGTTCACACAGCCTGCACAAGTCCCGTCCGCATTTGCCGCACTCCGGTTTGCCTCGTGAATGCAGGTCATCGAGCATGATGCCAAGATCGCCTGGTTTAGCCGGAGGCACTCGGAAGGCTCCCTGAAAGCGGAGCATCAGAGACTACCCAGGCCTTGACTGTCTAGTGTGACGGTGAAGAGGTTGCTGGGGCTGTCTTCCTTTCGGAACGGAGGCTGACAACGCTCCAACCGCTACATGCAGCCCTTGCACGAGGACTCACTCCGTCCAACATCGAAGCAGTCTCTTGAGAAGCAAGACGCTGACAAGTCGTGATACATCTTCCTAGTTCTGTTGTCGCTGTTGCTCTGCCTTCGGAGTGCTCACAGGCGCCGCTGTGGACGCTGCCACTTCCTCCTTGACCTCCACTGTCGGCACTGCCGATTGCTGCTGAATTACTGCCGCAAGCGCATCTTGCTCGTCCTTCAAGGGATGAAGTGTGCGAGTTCAGGAGCAGTGAGTGCGCATAGCTTTAGACAGACCTGCTTCTGCGGAGTTGGTGTCTGCAGGATCTCGCGTGGAAGCACTTCAACGAGGTTCTCCTGACCGAAAGGTCAGCACCCTCCCAGAAAAAAGCATGTCAGGAAAATTCGTCCTGCGGCTCGGTCTCGCAGCACTTGCACCACATCACTGGTAATGCAACGGGGTACAGGACTAATCGACTAATCGCCAGCTGCACATAGTTTTGCGGCTTGGCCAAAGCCTCATCCGGCCGACGCTGCTACGAGTGCCTTTGCGCGGGGGTGTGCTGATGCGTGGTACTCTTGCTGAGCTTCTTGGCTGCGGTTTCCACGCAGGACTCTGCAAGCTGTCCAGCTGAAGCCGTGTGCCTGTCCGGATTTCAATGCCTTGCTGTGCCTGGGCTACCAGGTCGTTTAGCCCGAAAACGAAAGCTCTTACAAAAGCTGCTGTGAAACTGAAGCTGCATTCTGTGCAGTCTTCAACTAGCAAAGTGAGAGCATCTGAATGCCATGTCAACCTTGTCGAGTCTTGCTGCCACGCACTGCGTAGAGCCAGTACAGGCTACCTTTGCCAACTGGCTAAAAACCTCGACGAACATGCGAAGTCAGTACCGCAAGATCGTGAGGTCCAGGTCGCACTCCTTCAAAACCAACCGCACGGGCCAGGCCGAGGCAGCAACAAGCACAGGCACAGAGCAACCCAAAACGAAGAATTGATTGATACAAGAAGGAACAAACAGACCAGAAGACTTTATCCTTTCCTTGCAATGCTAGCTGATCACAGCGAAAGATGCGGGCCACTCTGTTTTCCGTCCGGCTGCAACAGACCTTCCCACCCGCGGCTCTGACTCTTTGTTTCTTCCGGCATCGCACACAATGAAACGACAACCACCTCCGAGGAGATGCGCCAGAAAGAGCGGAAAACCAAAAAAGCATCGCTGGCTGAGCATGCGCCTTCCTTCAAGTCGATGGATGGCTCTTCTGGTCCTCTTGCAGTAGAACGACAAGGCACAACATCGTCAAGCATCCAATCAACGGCACAACTGTCCAACCGAATTCAATTCTGCATGACCAGCAACCTCGCCTCATCACTTCGAGCGCTGGCGCATCTTTCGGCGCTTCTTCTGCAAGCGGCGCGTGCGCTTCTTCTTCCACTTCCAGCGAAACTTCGAGCGAGCCTCAGCATCATGTCTGGATCGGATCTACAGGCGCTTGCCACAAAGCATTTCTG